AAGATGTGCTGTTTTCTTGCCAGACAGAATCTTTCATAACATGAGATTAGTGGGAAACACTGCAATAAAGAGAACTTTTGGTGAGGAGGATGCAGAACATGAAAATAGAGAATAGTTTGCTAACCATTCAATCAGCATTCTGTCTAGAGGGCACTATGAAAATATTCTGGAGGGAGAGAAAGGGTCAGGAAGCAAACAACCCTGACCCAGCAGCATGAGGATGAGAATGCAATAAAAGAAAAATCAGCAGAGGAGCTTATAAAATGGATATACTATAGATAGCAGGAATGGGTGGTGAAGTGTTAACTTTTGTGGATTTAATTAAATGAATCTATGAGTATGACATAGACAGAATCTGAGATGGAATTGGGCCATTTCTCAGGTTCCCTCTTTCATAGATTTGAATCAACCTGCTTACCAGTGTGTGAACCTTACCATGAGGTCATGAAGATTTGAACCTTGTCTTCTGAGCTTTCTTTAACTTTCTAAGTGAGGGTATTTTCTAAGCCATATGGCTTTATCAGGGGCCTCAAATCATAAACCTCTCCGCAGAGCCTGGGCAATCAATCCTAACTGCTTTTGTCTTCCTTCAGGCAAGCTGAGGTTCTCTCACTCACCACAGAATGCCTTTGGAAGTGTAAGGACAGAAGTAAGTCCAATGAAAAGGCTTTGGTGTTGCCAAGATTATGGAATTCCCTTCTTATATTAACTTATAAACTGGTAGTAAAATACAAAATAAAAGTGAGAAATCTCAAAAAAAATCTTATATTTCCCATGTTGGCTATTTCAATGGTTGAAACATACTTTGAATTTTAAATTCTTTCAAAAATATTTTGTGTGACTTTTCATAAAATGTACCCCGTTTTATGGACTATCTAGCAGGAATGCAACGAATGTAATCTCTGTTAATCCTATCCAGCTAAAAAACTTTGAGACCAATTTATGCAAAAATTTGGCAACCACACAAATGTACCACCTCTCACCTTCCTACTATCTGTAGTCTATCCATTATATAGCTTTTCTGCTTCTTTCTCTTTTCCTATGTGCTCATCCTCATGTTGCAGGAACAGGATGGTTTGCTCCTTGACCCATTGTCTCCTTCCAAAATCTTCCATAGTACCTTCTAGATAGAACATCAATTGAGGGTTAATAAAGTATGCTACATCTCTATCCTCTTCACTGAATGTCTTCATCATTTGCTCTTCCATGGGAATCGATTACTAATTTTTATTTTTCTTCAAGCGGAGACTGTTGATTGTTCTATATTCTTTGGGTTTGGCATCCTTTGAGCTCCCAATACCACCTCCTAAACCACTGTCTCTTTGAGACTTACACCATTTACCTTTACTACGCTCCAAGACTCTTGGTTGCTATAATTTACAAATCTCCCAGTTATCTCTTATCTGTTAAACCTTCAGGATGAGTTTCACAATCTTTCCTTTTACTCCATGTTCTACCATCACTCTGAGCACCTTTGACATCTATATGTATTAGTTTTACATCCTGGCCTCTTACTTCTTTGACCCTAGTCTCCAGGGAGTGTCATGACAATCCACCTGTGGCCATATCCTTGAATTTGGCATCAGCCGTAAATGTTCCACCTTTGAAATATTAAGTCTGTGCATCTCACTTTTTGACTACTACTGCTGTGGAATGAATTGTGTCCCCCGAAAAATGTATATGCTAAGCCCTAGCACTCAATGTGATGGTATTAGGAGATGGAGCCATTGAAAGGTAACTGAATTTAGATTGAGGTCATGAGGGTGGAGCTGGGACCCTCATGACATCAGTTCCTTTATAAGAAGAGGCACCAGCTGGGGATGGTAGCTCATACCCACAATTCTGGCTACTTTGGGAAGTTTAGGAGGGAGGATCACTTGAGGCTGGGAGTTTGAGACCAGCCTGAGCAACATAGCAAGACCCTGTTTCTAAAAAACAAAAACAAACAAACAAACAAAAAACAGGCATGGTGGTATGCTCAGGATTGCTTGAACTCACGAGTTCAAGGCTGCATAGAGCTATGATCGTGCCACTGCACTGCAACCTGGGCAACAGAGTGACACTGCTGTCTTTAAAAATAAGAAGAAGAAAGAGAGATATCAAAGGACTTAGTCTCTCTCTCTCTCTCTCTCTCCCTTTCTTTCTCTCCTCTGTCATGTGGACTTCTACTCTCTAGAATGGTGGGAAAAAGTAATTTTTGGTTGTTTAAGCCACCCAGTCCATGATATTTTGTTAGAGCAACCTGAGCAGATGAAACAAGTACCTTCAGTCCTTTCATCTCTATTGACATCTCCAGTTCCTTGTCTTTTCACCATTGATCTGCCTTTTCTTGAATTCACTTCCTTCCCTAATCAGCTTAGATTCTTAGTCTCTCATTGTAGCCATTTTCTTATCAATATCCCTAGATCCTTTGTTCACTGCCCTTTTATTGCACCTTCTTGGCAAAATATTAATCTTGTTTCAATCCAGTTTTCCACTTTCGCCATGCTTGTATCTGTGTTTTAGAGTGATATTGGAGAAAATCACACAATTACTTAGACATTGACTTTGAAGATGACTGCTTGCTCACCAACCTCAAGGGTGCCCATTTCTTCTTTAATTTCTGTAATCTACTCCCTTACATTTCCAGCAAAGATAATTTTAAACATTCTCCACTCAAACTCTTTTTTCAATTCTTATCAAATGACATTGCCTCATATTTCATAGAGTACATAGTAATTGTCAGACAGAAGCTAGCTCAACTTCTTGCTTTTATGAGTTTACACTTACCTGTACCCATAATTCTTTGTCTTACAATGGCAGAAGAGTCCCTCTATTTTAAGCCAATTCTTCTTGTAATTAAGATCTAATTCCCTGCATTTCTAGTGTGTACCTAATGCTTTGACAATGTGCTTACACAGTGAGTGGGTAAGTGTGGTGTCTGGCTAAATGGAGAATCAGCATCAACCTACAGTTTCTGTCTGCCCGTAGCCTTCATAGATGTCCAACTTAGTGATGCGATTCCAGGCCTCAGTCACCCCAGGGCTGATGGATCCTCCTGCAGCCACGCAATGCTTCAGACTCTTGAATCTGTAGCTGGAGAGGCATCAAAAGTTGTTCTTTAGACTTATTCTACTAATGACAAGTCTGTTGTAAAAAGAATCTTGGAAAAAAATGATGCAGATATTGCCAAATATTATATATTAAAGGGTGGTTGAGTTCTTATTACGACTCCATTAGATAATCTCTTCAACACCCATAATGATCTGTCTCCAGGAAGATTCTCATTTACTCTTCTGGACAAGAGACATTAATGTTAAAAGTGAACCGATCAATACTAACTGATGGCAGGAAGCCAGCCTTGTGCAGAAACTCTTCAGAGTTTCAGTACATCTCCAAAGCCTGAGTTGTGTGTGAAGGCTGAATCAGAAACAATAGGATAAAGCAGAAACTAAGTTTGTAAAGTCTGTGGATGGAAAGAGAGCCACCAATTTTACAATTTGGCTCAAATTCTCTGGATATTATGAGACATTACCATGGGACCTCAGATGCAGATAGACTAGTAGTAAACATTTTAAAATAAACTTATAATTTACTTTTGCATATTTGATTGTGGTGATGGTGGAAAGATCAGCTGTGGGAAGAAGATTACAAAAAAACTCTTCATGGTCTTAGATAAAGGAAGGGTCACCCTGTGTATTTTGAACACAAAAATGTCAATTAATGGTTACATGATAGCTCGTCTGCATAAGACATCATCTGCCTACCCAGTTAGAACCTGAGACTAAGAAATATCAGAACTGGGAAACTGTTTATGAATTACCTCTCAAGGCATCATCATGTCATTTCCTTTGTATTATTAATTTCAGGGTATAAGTGAGAGTTGCCTATTTTTAAAATTTTAAATGCTTTTCTTTTAAGGGTATGAGAAGTAGTCTGAACATTTTATATGGTTATGACATGTGGATGAATAAATTATATGTCATATATTTGTTGGCTGCTTATATGTCTTCTTTTGAGAACTGACTATTCATATCTTTTGCCCACTTTTTAATGGGCCTGTTCGTTCTTTTCTTTTCGGCACATTTGAGTTCCTTGTAGATCCTAGCTGTTAGACCTTTGTCAGACATACAGTTGGTAAATATTTTTCCCCAGTCTGTGGGTTGTCTCCCCACTCTCTTGGTGGTTTCTTTGGATTTGCAGAAGCTTGTCAATTTGATGAGGTTTCACTTGCCTATCTTATCTCTTATGGCATGGGCACTTGGGGTTTTGATCAGGAATTGATTGCCAGTTCCAAGTTCCATAAGGGTGTCTTCTGCATTTTCTAAGGTTCTTATAGTTTGGGATTTTACATCTAAGTCTTTGATCCATTTAGAGTTGATTTTTGTGTAAGGTGACAGGTAGGGATCTTGTTTTAATCTTCTGCATGTAGTCAGCTCGAAGACATATGGCAGTCAACTGATACTTGAAAAAATGCTCAGCCTCACTAGTCATCAAAGAAATGCAAATCAAAACTACACTGAGATACCATCTAACTCCAGTCAGGATGGCTATCATCAATAACTCAAAAAACAGCAGATGTTGGAGAGGATTCGGCGAAAAGGGAACACTTCTACACTGTGGGTGGAAGTATACACTAGCACAACCCCTGTAGAAAACAGTGTGGCAATTCCTAAAAAATCTAAAATTCGACCTTCTGTATGACCTCGCAATTCCCCTACTGGGAATATACCTAGAAGAACTCAAATCACTCTATAAAAAAGACATCTGCACACATATGTTTATTGCAGCATTGTTCACAATAGCAGGAACATGGAAACAACAATTCTGCCCATCAAAAGAGGACTGGATAAAAAAATGTGGTACATATACACAATAGAATATTATGCAGTTATAAAGAAGAACAAAATCATGAACTTCACAGCAACCTGGATGGACTTAGAGTCTATAATACTGAGTGATCTTTCACAGGAAAAAAGAACTGAGTATCACATGTTCTCACTCATGAGTGGACCTTGAACAATTATTGTAGTACTATAAGAAAAGGATTGCCAGTAGTGGAAACTGCCGGGAGAGGAGCGGGGAAGTGGGATTGGCAATAGTGGAAATCTGCCTGGGGAAGATGGGGCATACCTCATCAACAAGGGTACCTGCATAACAAACATTTGTATACCTAACCCTGAATTGTGCCGCACATCTTTAAATAAAAAAAATTAAAAGGAAAAAAAAGATATGCCATATTTGAGCATACTTTTTAAAAAATTTAGATTCTGGGGTACATGTGCATGTTTGTTAAATGGGCATATTGTGTACTGTTGAGGATGGGGCTTAAGGTGCCCCATGCCCCAGATAGTCAACATTGTACCTGTTAGGTGATTTCTGAACCCTAACCCCTCACCTAACCTCCCTTCTTTTAGTGTCCTCAGTGTGTCTTATATTTCCCTCTTTGTGATCATTAAGTTCCCACATATAAGTGAGAACATGCAGTGTTTGATGTTCTGTTTCTGAGTTATGAACATAACTATTCTTAACTTGCTCTATAAAATGCCAACAAACTAGGTATTTCTTCATGTCATCATAATTTAATATGCTAGTGTTGTTTGCTACCCTAAACGCTTCCTTCTGTAGAATATATGTCCTTCTTCACAGAGCTAAAGTGAAGCTTAGAGTTAAATAATTATTTAGCAAATGCTAAGGCTTAATACAAAGCTTTGGAACCTGAGATTTTTCATTAATCTTTATTGATGTTGATTAGCATGTCTACTTCTCAATGAGTACCCTAGAGAATTCTAGAATATGTACAAAGATGCTAATTTCAGCAGCTTGGAAACCATCCAAATACTTTTGATAAGTACTTGGCTCATTAACATACAATTCATTAATACTAAGGATCACTAGGCAATGTTCAAAATATACTATGCATATTATCATAAATAGAGTTCTAAGGTGCAGTGTGGAATGAAAAATGCAAGTTTCACCATGATATTATAAAGTATGATATCTATATAATCCTGCTTCATGGGAATGAATAGATAGGCATAGATAATATTTACTTTTAAAAGGATTAGATGGATTTATAGCTAGTGGGGGAGGTGGCCTTTGTCTTTAATATTTACCTTTTAAAAACAGGTAATATCTTGTCTTTAATGTTTATCTTCTTAAATGGAGGTGCAATTACCCACTAATTAAAAAACCCAAACTTCTGATTATAATTAAGTTTTATATTCTGGACTCTTGTGGGACCAGAAGATACAGACTTCAAAAATGATGAGGGAATAAAAAATCCGACACCATAATGGAGTAATTGTCATAAATGGCAAAAAGATGGGTGTTAATAAGCGTTCCTAGTCTTATTTATGGCACCCTAAGAGATTCTCTCTTACCTGGTGAAATATTTGTGCTGAAGCAGTTTCTGGTACATCCATGGGTTTCCAGATAAAGTGGTGATGGGAAACCTGGACAGGGCCTGGGCCCCCAAGGAAGGAAAAACCAAATCTATATGTGAAGATGAGAAAATCAGACTTTGGGTGGAAAAGGTACAGCAAAGAAGGACATTAATTTTGAGACTCGGCTGGGGCACGTCCTTTATCTTGAGGATTTAGTGATTCCTCACCCTCTAGACATGAACCTTGGAAGATAATTTAGCTTTAGTTCTCTGAATCTAGGAGCTATCAAGTTCATCACAGATACCTGAATGGATACACAGTCAGGCATTTACTTCTGAATCTCCCAAGACCCTTGTTTAGATCTTTATTGCCTTGAATAATAAACCTAGATGTTGCCAGTGAGATTTTTGATTGTGAAGGCAGTTTAGAGCTTAGCACAACAGTTTAGACATTATGCTCTGGAGTTCATGAGACCACAGTTTAATTCCTAGTTCCACTTCTGTGATTCCTTGGGCTAGCTACTTAATGTCTCTTAGGCTTTGTTTCCCCAGTTCTTGCCTCAGCATTGTTGGGGAAATGAGACAAAATAATGCATATACAGTGCCAGTAAGTAGTCAACAAGTGGCAGCTGATATTAATATTACTATCGTCTTTATTATCAGTATGTCCTTTTAAGTTTCCTTCTCAGTGGTACAGCTGAAATAGTCAAGTCCTCCTAATACTAAAGGGTCTAGAGAAGTGGGAGGGCATTGCTCTCAGAAGTAGAGAAAGCATCTTCAAGTCAAGATCACATTCCAAATTGAATTCTTGCCCATTTTAGATATGAGTCAGTGGATCATGGCTAATAGCCCCTTGTGGCCCTTGTCCCGCACAGAGCACACAAACAACTGCTCTTACATTTAGAACAGTCTCAGGGCAGAAGGTTGGCATGTGATGCAGAAACACACAGGCTCCTTGGAGCCAAGCTCCGAAGGCAGTGCTCAGAGATAAAGTTCCACCAAAGGCATCACCCAGACTCCATAAGACATCTGTCGGCTGGAGATCCATCCACTGTCTGAAGAGAAATGGGCAAAACTATGTGAATTCTTTCATGGTACTAGCAACGACAATAACACTTGCTGTTATCAAGTGCTAAACTTAGAGATAAACAAAGACCACCCAAATGAGAACAAGTGAAGACTATTTATTAGGCTAAGAAGCCAATGGACTCTCCTTAAAGTCTATCAGTCTCTGTCTTAATTATCATGACATTACTTGCCAGGTTCCATGACTTTCAGGGGTCTTGGCAGTTATCTAGGGGGACACTATTGATTAATGGATTGTATAAGTGAATGATCCCAGTTTCTCCTATTCTAATTCTCTACCTGATTTCCACTGACTGTTATAGCTTATGAGAGTAAAAGACTTTGAGTTGAGGGTGGGCAACACTTGTACCTATTTCCCCCAAGGGACCCTTGGGCAGACTTTGTTAAGAGAACTTGAGTATGGAGTCACAATACACAACCATGTATCTCAGGCAGAATTGAATGTAAGGTTAGAAAACTTCACTCTAGACAAACCAAACTAAAACAAATGCAAGCCAATTATTTCATTGTGTGTTCAACTAGAGATTGAAATCAGTTTCAGTGCTGTAAGGAAAACTGATGATATTGTATTTGCCAAGAGATGATTCAGTATTCACAAGCTATTTGAAGGATTTTTTTTTTAAGAGGTAGTGTGATGACATGTGATTTTCATCTTAGGGGTTGACTCTAGAGCCTAAACCCCTTGTAAATTGTGACTCTACCTCTGAGTTTATCACTACATACAGTGATCAACACGATTGTCCACCCTGGTTCTGCTAGCACAGAAAAAGCAAGTAACATACAACATGTGTCTTTTGGATAATCACCCTGGATCTCTCTCAGCTATGTGGATTTTCTGTTCTTCCTCTTTTCCCCCATCCTCTTAGATTTTTGATCTATAGTAATTTAGTTTTGATTCTTTGGTATACACCTTCCCACCCTGTTCTCAGTTCCATTCCTTCTCTCAATATTGACACTCTGCAGTCTTGAGGAAGAAACTCCTTTCTTTGTCTTAGGCCCATTACACTCTCCCTTTATTCCCGAGAGAGGCGCTCTCAGACCTGTATAGGCTGTGTGAAGATACCTGGAGGCTTGGCTAAATCCCATTCCCAGACCATACTGGGAATACTCGACCAGTTTGGGAGTACCCATTTTCCTGTTGGTGAAGAATATTGCCATTGGATCTTGACTGTCAGTCCCCACGCAGGTCTTCTTTGGAGGGGCAACTCTGTAAGTCACCAAAGAGGCAACAGCAAGTTTTTAATTTGGGCTCTGACTTGGAACCTAACCTTCTGGATTGGTAATCTCTAATTTTTTAAAATAACACCTGTTGTCTTGGTATATTGGGGGAAGATTTGCTAGAGGGACAGCTGCCATTTTTTACTTTTGTTTTTTAATTTTTATTTTTTTCATTGTCAGACAGGTAGTGTGCCAATGTTGTAACAAGATTTGCGGGTGGCACAACTTGCATGTATGCGTGAACACCCAATCATCACACTTATGAGCTACAAAAGGATCATTACTTTACAAAATTTTTGCATTGACTTTTGTTGCACAAGAATTATATGATGCATTTACACCCCAGTCTTATTTTTTCCTAGTCCAAGGCCCTCTATTCACTTGATTGTTCAAGCCAAAAATCTGTGGAAATCTTTGCTGTCTCTCTTTCCCCATACGCCTGTCTACCATACCACATCCTAGTCATTGGCAAGACCTGGCAACTCTATCTGCAGAACATGTCATGAGTCTGTCTCTTTTCACTGTCTCTACTCAGGTTGGGGACTGGAGTGAAGCAAGTAGAACATTTGCCATATTCATGATATTTTAGGGGATGCCATCACATTCAGGAGTGAAGATAAATCATTTTTTAGTGAAATATTTTTAAAAACTACTGCATAAATTCATAATAAATAAAATATCAACATTTTAAATAATGATGGGACAATGAGCGCTCGCAAACTGGTCAAATATTTCCACTATGGTTTGGGAATAATTTTAGCCAGGCTTCAAGGTATAGTTTTACACAGCCTGTGCCCAATCTGGTACTTGTATGACTCATCTCACTTGATCACCCCTAATCCTGTCCCTGGTTTCATACAACTTTATTGAGCCAGGCTCGGTGG